CCCCCGGCCGGCGCCGGCGGCACCTCATGGCGTCGCTCTCCCTCTCCCTCCGCGCCAACGCCTCCGCCTCCCCGGCCGCCGCCGGATCCCGCGCCGCCGCCTCAATCAAGGTCTCGTTCACGCCCCCCATCCCGGATCTCCCAGCTCCCCCTGTTTGACGGAACCCATGTCGAACTCCGAAGTACTTACAGCCGGACTGTTGCTTTCGCGGCGAAAGTTGGCTGCCTGCATTTTTTTTCCTGTTGCGCCAACTTGTTTTCCTGTTGATATCCGATGAATGGAACCTGTCGTTCTTTAACCGCTTGATTGACAGTCGTATGCCGCCCACTCTAACAGCCCCCGATCCTGAATGTGTTCATGTTATCCTGAATCAAGGCCTAGATTGGTTCGTGTTGATTTAGCCAGAAATTAGCAGTTTTTTTTGGGGGGTTCAAACAGAGAGCCTGGTTTTCCTGAATGTATTCATGATGCCCTGAACCAGGTCTAGATTGGTTCGTGTTGATTTAGCCATTTTTTGGCTCACTCTTGCAACTAAAACTCGTGCACCGTAAATGTCCCACCTGTTGATCTATTCTCCGATATATGGCGCAGGCGTCGTGCGTGAGGAGCAAGGTTACCTGCAGCTTACCATCCATCAGAGCTACCTCCTCGCCGTGAGTTGTCTTCTTGTTGCCTTCTTTCATTCAGCTTGTTCAAATAGCCGTCAGCCTGCATTTTTTCGGATAGAAAAAAGAGTACGACTGAGATCACAATCTTTGGAGGATCTTGCAAATTTCCTGACATCGATCCCTCGTGTTCTCAGCTTGTTTTGTGATTTGACCGCACTAAGCACTCACAGTTGATGGTCATGGTTATTGCATATTATCTGCAAGACAACGTAACACTGTGCCTTTTTTTCTTCTGCATATTACCTGTAACACTGTGCCTTTTTCTTCAACTGCAGTGCTAGAAGCATTGAGCCCGTAAGAGCCACGGCCACACAGGCGCCCCCTGCCACCCCTCGTAAGTTCTTCAATGCACGAAACATCTCTACTCTGTAGAGATCGGTGCAGCCTGCAGTTGTGTCTGACACAGTTTTACCTTTTCACTTTCCATAGAAACTTCTAGTGGGGAGAAAACAAAGGTCGGCATCAATGGTGAGTTCCTTGTTAGATAGAAAAAGAAATGGCATTACCAGACTATTCTAATTTAGTCAAGACACATTAAGATGTTTGTCAGGTGCATTTGGATAGTTGGGCTATACTTTGTAATCTTCGTTCAGTTTTTTTTCTTGTTGTAGGTGATCTTTAAAGTACAATGGTACACTTATGTTTTTGTTGCAGGTTTTGGGCGGATTGGGAGGTTAGTTCTGAGAATTGCAATCGATAGAGATGATATTGAAGTTGTGGCCGTCAATGATCCGTTTATCGATGCTAAATACATGGTAAGAAATCAGCACAAAATTATTCATTTTTAGGCTGCAGAACATCTGCTGGAATGCTTTGAAATGCCCGATACCGGCAGTGTGCTACTTGTGTTAGATAATGAGTGACCGGACTATTGTTTTTGATTTACAGTTGTTTGATTCTTCATGAAACAATATGCATATCGAACATGAGGAAGTAATGATCCGTTTTCAGATTTTCCATATGATTTTTAGTGAGCTGTTAGATGAGAACCTGCTGATCTTCAATGTACTTCTGAATAACTATTCACAATTCACCACCATATGTTTTCTCTAGAGATATTTCTTGAAACAGGACGAACCGACACACCCAACTAGTTTGCTTATGTGTACGGAAACTTGGACTGCACAAGCCATGGTGTGAGCTATATTATATGTTGGATGTATCTTGCCTAAATAGGAGCTCAGCTTGTGTCATTCATGCTCGTATAATCTGTTAGGTGCAGTCCTCAGTTAGAAAACTGTCATGTTTACTGTTCTTGTTGTACCTTTGTTATTTTCTTTCATTCAGTAGATTTATCTCAAGCTGTATCAGGTGCATCATATTTCATCTGAAGATCCCGTTTGATTCATTCACTATATTCATCCTTTTCTAGGCCTACATGTTTAAGTATGATTCCACACACGGTCCATTCAAAGGAACCATAACAGTTCTGGATGAGTCAACCTTGGAGATTAATGGGAAGAAAGTCTCAGTTACAAGCAAAAGGTAACAATAGGATTATAGGAATGCTCCAGGTTTAGCTGAATATATAATTATGTTTTCTAGTAAGTATTGCTCTCTATATGAATGATTCCTCAATGATTCATTTTGTCCTTACAGTTTCACTAGCGAGTCAGGACAAAGATCTTCTTTAGTTACTTACCTGTAATTTTATCTTAGGTGGTGCCACATATCTCTTTTCTTATCAACCCCAACGCTGACAAGTGTCAGATTCAGATATCAAGTGTTCTTTTCACTGTGAATACATGGACACTCTCAGTATACTTTTCATGTATCATCAGACCTTTATGAATTGGAAATAAGGAGCGTTGCTTGGCACCTATTATGGAAGTGGCTGAGTGCTCATCTGCAGTTTGGTAGTATTGCATACATGCATGTACATATAATAATCATTGAAAAATTAAAAGGCAATATATTATTTGATTAATGCTCACTTGGGTAAAATTATGGCATACATGTAGTTCCTAGAAATTTGCAAGCGATTTTCATCAACTCGTTGCTTGTGGTATTTTTATCTTGTGGCAATGTTGCTTGTCCCGTCTCCCCTAACGCATTGTTGGTTTGCTAACTTTGTTTTATGTGCTTTCACTTTTAATTTCAGGGACCCCTCAGATATCCCTTGGGGTAACTTTGGAGCTGAATATGTTGTTGAATCATCTGGTGTTTTTACAACAGTTGAGAAAGCTTCAGCACATTTGAAGGTCACCTTCTCATTTTTTGGACTATATATGTAATATCCTGGAAAATTTCCATTTACATACAACAAAAATGTTGAGATTCCATTGTGTCACTTAAACAGGGGGGTGCGAAGAAAGTGGTGATATCGGCTCCGTCAGCGGATGCTCCCATGTTTGTGGTTGGAGTAAATGAGAAGAATTACAACCCTAGCATGGATGTTGTCTCTAATGCTAGTTGTACCACCAACTGTCTTGCTCCTGTTGCCAAGGTATACACTTTATCACTTCATATTATATATGTAATACCGTCTTATTTCTTGCAAAATAGTGCCACCAGCTGCCTTCTTGATGATTCTTATGTTTATTGTTTGCAGGTTGTCCATGAGGAGTTTGGCATTCTTGAAGGCCTAATGACAACTGTCCATGCCACAACAGGTTTTCTTTCTCCCTGTTAATACTTGGTCATGGGCTGAGAGGTTCACCAATGCTCACATACCAAGTTGTAATTTGTCTGTAACGTAATAATTTTATTTGATGTGTCCAGCCACTCAAAAGACTGTTGATGGTCCTTCGATGAAGGACTGGAGGGGAGGACGTGGTGCTGGTCAAAACATCATCCCTAGCTCTACGGGTGCAGCAAAGGTTTATAATTTGCTCAATGAGAAAGAGCAAAATGTTTTGTTTTTGCAGGTTTCTAATGTTGAACTTCTTGCTTTGATACCAGGCTGTTGGAAAGGTCCTTCCAGCTTTAAATGGAAAGCTCACTGGCATGGCCTTCCGGGTTCCTACACCTAACGTGTCCGTTGTTGATCTGACCTGCCGACTTGAGAAAAGCGCTTCCTATGAAGATGTGAAAGCAGCTATCAAGTATGTACACCAATCTAACAGTTGTTCTCGCAATTTGTTAGCTCCTGATTGCTGGTTGCACCCCCTTTTCCATCAGTGCCTTGCTCTGTTCTTTCTGACCAAGTCAACTTCTCGTTAACTTTATTATTCCAAGTTCTCCTTATTGGTATAGTATGCGATCTTTTCTGAAGAAACTAGTATGCGATCTTTTGGCTGTAACTGTTTATAGGATTACTTCTATAGCCTGTTACTCTATAACCAAAAGTTCGAAGATTTAATCAATGTGATCAGAGAAGAAATTGCATAGGGTAGACAACTAGCTTTAGAGTACAATAGAGTTATCATGATGTTGAAGGTCAATAGTGAAATAGCACTAAAGAAGAGATATGAAAGGGTGTGTGCTGCCCTGGTACCAACCAAATTCATGTACATACTATCTGTGCCCTTTGATAATGCAATGGAGCAGTAGGTCTCAAAGCTTACAAAAACAAAGAAACATGGCAAGTTTTCCTAAATAAATGAGTATAAATTTGCCACAGCTGTTTCTTAAACTTTGTATTCGCATTATCCTGTGAAAAATTCTCAGTCCAACAATATGCTTACCCAACTCTGAAAAGAAAATCTTAACCATTTTTCCAGGGAAGCATCAGAAGGTTCACTTAAAGGTATTCTAGGCTACACAGATGAGGATGTTGTTTCAAACGATTTCGTTGGTGACACAAGGTAAGTATTTGTATCTGTTCCCATGACATTGTAACGAGCTGCTGGGAATTGGGAGTAGCTAAATCTCTCTATACCGCAGGTCGAGCATATTTGATGCCAATGCTGGTATGGGTCTAAGTTCATCTTTCATGAAGCTCGTCTCCTGGTACGACAACGAGTGGGGCTACAGGTAAATGTCCACTTAACCAGTTCAAGATTTTAATTTATTGTGCATCTACAGTGTACCTGAATATGCTGTTGTGTTTTCTTGATCCAGCAACCGTGTCCTGGATCTGATCGGGCACATGGCTCTTGTCAACGCCTAACGATGACGCCACGATACGATTTAGCACAGAAAAGGTCTCCTCGCGTAGTGTAGGAAGTGAAGGCTGCAATTTTGATGGCCATTTTCGAATCCTGGAATAATAATAATTCTGTATGATGAAAACAATCAAATCAATCGGCGTCGACTTGAAGCTGCAGAACGATCATGCTGGTATGTAAAACCCCACAATTGAACTGTTGTGGGTGGACAATAAACCCAATCCCCGACTCGTCGAGTCATAGTGCTGTTACTTTGGCCCTGTGGTGGCATCCGTGTTTTGTTTCCACCTTCAGGGAGGATAGGAAAATATGATGATGATGACTCTTTTGTTTGCAGTCTAAAGTTTTGCAATGCCATGTTGCTTGTTGCGCTTCGACACGCAGTTGAGAGGACCCTGGATCGATATCTCGGGAAAGATATCCGAATTTCCAATCCTGATGATATGATAGAAATTCAGGAAAGGTGTTCTGGATTTCAGACCCCGATGGTAGGAATTCGGATGCCGATTGGGCGACTCCGGTGACCGGCAGTGTCGCCGTCCTCATCACATCCCTTTCCTGCCTTGCCGTCAAGTGGGTTCTCCGGTGGAGGGGCATCACGTACGGCGGCCACCAAGATAACCCTGCGAATCACATCCGAACTCTCCTGCTTTACCGTGCCATCTGTTCTGACCGTGACTTCACTGCCTGTCCTGTTCCTATCTCCACGGCTAGTTGCTCAACGTCGCATTCCCCGTGCACTCACACAATGGATGCATGGCTAAGAAAGAACTAAAGTTAGTTCTTTTTTTTTCTGAAGAAGTCCTCTAATCTATTAACAATGTGCAACAGCAACGCAAAGATTTTGATATGTAACAAAAATTTCAACAAAAATTTCAACTTGGTCCATGAATCACCTATCGCAAGCCGAAGGTACGCCATCGTCATCGTCCCTCCCTCGTCGGAGCCAAAAGAAACTTTGTTGTAGACAGGTGAGAAAATGTGATGCTAAAGCTCCATAGCACCGGCACACCAGAATAGCAACCACCGTCGACGATGAGAAGTGTAAATTGAAAGGGTCATACCTGCAAATACACGAGCGAAAAACAAGGGGTCGGTCGGATCCATATGGATTTGTCGGAGACGAACGCGGACGGATCTAAGCAGATCCACAGATACCAATGCCGACGGATCTTAGAAGATCCATCGAAGGCTCATCTGCACACGCCCTTGCCCGAAGCAGGGATAGACAAGGAGGACATTATTGCAACCCTCTAACGTTGCGGCCGCCTCGCCAGCCCGTCCAAACCACTAAAACTACATAAGGAACTATAGGATTCCTCCCAACCAGCGGGGACTAGCACCTCCAAGTCACGTATGGCCACCGGAGGTGGGGCGGGCCAACGGTGGTGCTGGCGAGGGCTTGTTACTTGTTGACAAGATATTTGAAAATCAAAGTAAAAAAGGGGTCTCCTGTTTGTCAGTTGCAAGTTTTAATAGATTTTCTGGTCCGTAATATTCACATCCGACGGCTCCTGACTGTCTCGTGCCTGTTTCTCATGTTCATCTTGAACCCCACAACCGCCGGCTTACCCCCCCCCTCCCCCTCTTCCGCACCACCCACGACCAGTGGCGTTGCTGTGCACGCCTCGCCGTCCCTCCCTTTCCGTCGTGTTGCCGCCTCCCCAAAAGCCCCTCTTGACCCCGACACGATCTCCGTCACCAGCGACCTCCCCTACACCCAAACCCCGTCAACCTCTCACTCCCCTCCACCGATGACGACGGCGTCGGGTCGCCCCAAGTTGCTCTTGGTTAGGCCTAGCCGGCATCCCCATCTCGGCCTCGGTGCTTTGCCCAAAATCGACCAGTGCAGATAGGAGTTTCACACAAGCGATGAATAGCAAATACTCCCTCCGTTCCTAAATATTTGTCTTTTTAGATATTTCAAATGAACTACCACATATGGATGTATATAGACATACTTTACAGTGTAGCTTCACTCATTTTGCTTCGTATGTAGTCACTTGTTGAAATCTCTAGAAAGACAAATATTTAGGAACGGGGGAAATATTAAATTAAAATTGATGACTTGTCAAAGAATACACAGGTAATGTTAAAACTCATGATGATCGTTTATTGTCAAAAATGAAAGCTCTCAAGATGGCCGGCAAAGCAAACCATCAAACAGGTTATAGCCGGAACCTGACATACAAAGTAGCACGCCGGAACAGTGATCTGAACTCTGAAGCGAATAAAAAAAGAGGCAAACTGATCGACCATATCACACGGCGTTCAGAACTTGCAGGACTTGGCGGTGGCCTTCTCCGGCGCCAGCGCAGTCGGCCGAGAGGCGGCGCCGGCACGTCGGGCACGAGCAGCGCGAGGCGAGCCACCTGTCGACGCAGGGCACGTGGAACCGGTGGCCGCACACGGGGAGCACGCGGATGGTCTCCCCGTCGGCGAAGTCCGACAGGCAGATGGCGCACCCGGCACCGGCCGACGCGTGCTGCTTCTCGCCGGCGTACGTGGCGACGGGCAGTGCAACGAGGGCCTCGCGCTTGAGCCCGGCGTTGGCGCGGCGGTGCGCCACCCATCCGACGGGGTCGGCCACGGCGCGGCGGGCGCACCGCGCCACGCACTGCTGGAGCACGGAGTTGAGCCCCAGCACGCACACCAGCGCGCACAGCATCGCCGCCAGGATCACCACCATGTCGTAGTCCAGCGCCGCCGTCGGCGGGGGCGGCTCCGGGGACGGCGTGGCCGAGACGTCCATGCAGTTGGACATGTTGGTAGATGCTCTAAATCTAGGATTGCCGAGGATCGAAGCTGGACAAGTCAGGCCAGCGAGAAGAAAAGCAGAAGAGAGCAAGAGATGACACAAGTGAAGACAGCAGGACTGTGGCGTGCTCCTGACCATGTCCAAATAGGCTCGGCGAAATCCTCCACTATATAGCACCAGCAGTACCTAGTCAGCACAGAACCTTCGTGTCAGTGTATTTGCAATGGTGTAACGAAATCCTACCATGACTTCTTTTCTTGACAACTAAATCCTACCATGACTTACTGTGATGCACTCAAAATAGACTGACAATCAGCATGGTGACTGTCATGCTGTACAGAATTGGAACCTGCAAAAAATACGTGTCGGCTCCCCACTCGCCACCCTCTGAATGTCACTGGGTGGGCCCGGTGCTTTTCAGTCAGATGACGCCACGTCAGTCCGTAACTTCCAATCCGTAAAAGTGTAGCACTACTAGCGTTACACAGTTACAGTAATGTTTTTGCTACTGATAGTTCTGTACAAAAGATGTTTGTTGAAGTATAGATAATAGTATTATATCAAGTATAATGTACAAGAACGTTACTTCATATTTGCTTTTTGGAAAAAGCTAATGCAGTAGCAAGCGAAGCCTAATTTAGGAGCATGATTGGTGACGAAGACGGCTCGGTTAGTGGTCGTGGTAATTCAGTGAAGGAATCAAAGCAATTTATTAGTTGCAATGCGCATCTATTCTTTCTTTCCTTGCAGAAAAGAAGGAAATGGACTTACAGTGACATCATGGCGGCACTCGCTTGCCGAAGATCAAACCAGTGACCGACACAACTATGGGTATTTTCCTTCAAGTTGAACCCCTAAAGATGCATGGAACACAAACACATGCACGCACGCGCAAAATGATACTCCCTCCGTCCGGAAATACTTGTCATCAAAATGAATAAAAAGAGATGTATCTAGATGTATTTTAGTTCTAGATACATCCCTTTTTGTCTATTTTGATGACAAGTATTTTCGGACGGAGGGAGTACTACTACAGTTAGGGATGCAGAAATCACTTGTGAAGATGGTGGAAGTTTACAGGAGAAATGGACAGCAGAAGGTGGAAAGCAACTTGAGTGTAAAATGCTCTTGTACATGAAATCAAAAGAGAATTACACTCGAACATGCATGTTTTTGAGGTAGTTAATTATCATGCCTTGGAGTGTAAAAATGTATTTCTTTCACAAAAGAACAAAAAAAAAATTCATAATTAGGATGATGATAAGCAATGAAGAGTGCATGCGTAACTGGTGGCAAATGGTTGTAGTAAAGCAAGAGAATCAAAGCAACTCATCATCGGTTCGCTAGGCAGGCATTTGTTCTTTCTTTTCTTGCAAAAAGAGGAAAATGACTCATAGCTAAATAGGCCTGTACTTGATGATCAACCAATGATTAACACAACTGTGCGAATAGTTCAAGCTGAATCGCTAAAGAAGGAACATATGCAAGGAAGCTGATAATTAACCTACCTGTAAATATAACGGTGGGCCGCTACAGGGAAACTAAACTGTCTACGATGTAAAGGAAGAAAGCAACTTGACATGTTAAGAGCACTTGCACAGGAAATGTTATGCGTAGGAATATAGGAGGATGCAATATTCAGATAGCTATGGATCAGTCCAGTTAGCCTCTTAATCACTCCGTAGGTAACAGTGTTGTGGTCAGTGATGCCTCTTAATTAGTCGTATTTTTCATTGTTCTCCAGTCCAGTTAGCCAGTGTACTATTCTGTTTTGAAGCAAACAATACTGCTTCTACCGTATTCCCAGTGCACGTGCAAAAAATTCTCCCACTTCTGTTATTAAAGTTGTTCTCCCATACGTGATCATGCGGCCACTTCTATCCTCTCATGATTATGTCTCATGTACTCCCTGACCTAAAACATATTACATTTGTGTTCATTTTTCCAAAGAATACCGGATGGATCAGTCAAACTTCCACATGATTTCAGGGAATCTTTAAAGAGGCATGTGGAAAATTTGCTGGAGTCATGCTGTGAAAGAATCTCCTTTTGATAGAGAGCAGTTTTAACATGCTCCCTCTTACCCCCTCTTTTCACATGAGAGGTAAGAGTATATAATAGATCTGAGCTGTTAATCTCATTAATTAGTGGTCTGATTAACTCTTATATTCTTACCTCACATGTAAAAAGAGGGGGTAAGAGGAAGCATGTTAAAATTTACCCAAGATTTAATCCTTTTCAGGACAGCATGGCAAGTATAACATGCATACAAAGTTTAAACAGAAAAATTAAAACACACGTTCACAATCAACGAACTTATTTGGAATATGTGGATGCAACTCTGGCTCCATTGCCAGCCAGGAACTGCCTGTCTGCACAGAAAGGGAAATATGCAAGAGCCAGCTTTAATATGCAATGTTCTGCTTAGCACACTGCTATTTTAAATAGGTGCAAGTATCGATCTGCTAATATGGCAACTAAGAACGGAACTGCGATTTGAAGCACAGTTACTAATTGCGGACAAAAAAGAATACCAGATTAATTTCACTGGAGAGGCCGGCGGCCTGGTCTGATCTCCTTAGCTAGCTATCAGCCTATTACGCACTTTCTCCTTTCCTAGACCGCTGTTTGTAGTCGGTATGCTTCTTGTTCCTTGTTTCCATCTCCTGGACCGGATGCAACTGCTGCTGCTGCTTGTCGTTCCTCCTCTGCAGCCATTGTATCGCCTAAACAAACAAAGGTAAAATATATCCGGTCATCACGCAGTATATATGGACAAAAGGCAGGAGATAAAATCAAACTGTCTTATAAACTGGCAGAATCAGAGTGCTCAAACAAATTAAGACAAAGCTTGTATGCTTGATTTTCTGTACCTTCAAATACGGTAGAGCTGCTAATATTGGACTCCAGCTTGCCATTGTCTCTTGTGTATAGAACGTACCATTTTCTTGGGTTGTTTCCATCACATGCATATGCCTTGACATACTCCACATGGCTGAACTTGTCCCACTCAGGACCAGATTGTCCCGCGGCTAATGAAGATAGCAGCGATATCCTTGGCTTTATATCTCGCATGTATTCTGGGAGTTCTTCCATGACATAATCCTGCAGGATCAACCTCTCAAGTGCAGGGATACTTTCTAGCACCTTCAGCTTTGGGCAATCGGTGATCGTGAGCTTCTGCAGATTGGGGAGATTAGTGATCCTCTCCATGTCGGGGATTCGAAGCATTGTAAGCTCAACAACAGAAGGAAGGGTCTCAAGGTAGTTGAGGTGTTGGACGTCTTGTAGAAATAATTCCTTCAAAGCCCTTGCATTGGTGGCAACGCCTGTAGGAATACGCCTCAGTTTGCATTTCCTGAGCATAAGCTTCTCCAACCTAGGCATGGCTTGTACTTGCTCCTCCCACTCCCACTCTTCCCATTGCACCATTCCTAGTAAGTACATCTCATTTAACCTCGGAAATGGAGTAGCCGCAGCCTGCAAGAATCCAGCCCCAACACGCCTGATGAATGGAGCACGGTCTACCTTAAAGAACTGCAGGTTCGGGAGCTGACACAACCCATCGGGAAGTTGTCTGCAGCACGCCAGGTCAACAAACATAATATATGTCAAGTTATTGAGGGGCACCATGGTCGGGATGAGACTTGCCTGCTCCCCGCGTGTGTGCCCATCCGTGCTCCCGCATACGTGGCATGATTTGATTGGAACAAAATAAGGCCCGGCCCCACCCCCTTAAAATCAGGGGGGGAGATGATTAATTAGAAAGGGAAAAGGGAAAAGGACAACCGTAGGATGAAGTGGGAGCACGGATGGGAGCATGGGGAGGGAGCAGGCAAGCCGGATCCCCATGGTTGCAGACATCATCCAAGTTGGGAGTTGCTTGCCAAAATAACCACCCATTATAATATTATCTATACTGGGTGGAGGGGAGAGCTCATTGAACACCTTCTCGATTCGTCGCTGCTCTTCCTCAGGGATACATTCTTTCTCTTTTATCAACCCATCATTTTCCAGTCTGCTGGTGCAGAATAAAGACAGTCTGATAAGATACTTTTTATCACCAAGCCTAGCATTAGCAGCACACGAGGCAGCAGATACGTTCTCCAATTTATATAAACTAAGGAACCTGAGTTGGGAAAGAGACTCTAACTCGTCCAAACTGCACCATTCACCATCCATATGGGCTCGAAACCAATTTAGTTTCCTCATATTTGTTAGGGTACGGAACCCTCCAGGTATCACACTTATGCTGGGAAGCTCAAGTAACCTCAGCTGGCCAAGTTTCACAATGCTACCAGGAAGATTCACCAAATTTTCACATCCATGAAGGTCAAGGAATTGCAATAGTTTCATCTTGCCAATGTTCCCTGGAAGTACAGATATATTGGTATTTACTAGCTTCAAATACCTCAGGTGCTTGAGTTGATGCAACGATTCAACCAATGAAACCACATTAGCAAATTCTATATGTAGAGTCCGCAGACTAGAAAACATAATCAATGAATCACCGGGTTTCATCTTGATCTGGATAGTTGAGATTAGTGTTCTCAACGATTGTTGCTCCTGTAGAGATTTCCAGTCAACTTCACCTGATTGCAATTGATTGCTTTCTATGGTCAACCGAAGAAACTTTTGCGAACTAAGTTTAGTAAGAATATCAGTGTCTCCATCTTGAGCTATGAGTGCTTCATACTTAGTCATGTAATGAGCAAATGAGCGAACAACATCATGCATGCTGGAAATCCATGGAGCAACATACAAGTTATCTGGCTCTATAAGGTTCCTGGATAGCAACTCCTTGTAGTAATTTCTTCCCAATTCTTCTAAATCACTAGAGTTTCCATGAAGAAAACCTTCGCTCATCCACATTGCAACTACTTGATCCATATTATAAGGTTTACTTTTAGGAAGAAGAGAGTAGTATAGAAAGCACTGCTTCAAATATGAAGGCATATATTCATAGCTTAAGTATACTGTATAGTTGATCTCTGGGGGCATTTTAGTTACTGACCATTTAGAATCTGTCATACACGTGCATAGAACCGCACAAGGCTTGGTTGTCATGGACCGTGGCCCAGGTGGTCTTGGGCTTGTGTTGGCGCTGGAGAGGATAAAAGAATCAGCGACACCAGAAGTGAGGCATCGAACAGAATAGATTTGGCTTGGCCCTTCTTCCTCCTCCAGCTCCTCCCTTCCCTCGTACCAGACGAGTGTATCCCCTCTCCCTGATCCTCTCTTGCTGCCTACCTTGATTCTATGCTCTTCCCATCCTTGATTCTCTTCTCTGGATTGTAGTCCCATTGTGAACTTTGGTTTGGTGATTTAATTCATACACCAGGAACACTTGTATCCATGGATTTGGTGATGTTCGGTATCAATTTGTCAGCTCCTGATCTAGGGGCGTGACAGTTGGTATTCAGAGCTGTTCGATCCCCCACCAGTTTGTCAAAAAATTCCAGAAAATTTGCCTCAAATTTTGGTGTTCCTTTCCACCGCTCACCACCTGTTCGACAAAATGTCAATACAACCAGAGGTGACCAGTAGCTGTGTTTTGCATATCACCATCACCCACTTGTTTTACCATGTAACAGAGGAGGTACTAGATGAGCTATTCGGTGCCTATGGGGTGCATGATCTGTGTGTGTCACATAAATCGACACACATGGAGGTGTTTGTGGAGTTCGAATCATGGCTGGAGGCGAGCCAAGCTAAGGGTGCACTGCATGGACGGTGCATCTATGATGGTTCCTGCCTTTTGGACATCCAGCACGCCCCATCATCGATCAGCGTCCACAGGCTGCCCAACTCTGAACCTGTCGTGGTCGATTGGGATTGTGTGGAGCTGGCGGATCATGTGGAGCTGGAACAACTCGTCTCTCTGCCAACTCCATCGGCTTTAACTTCTGCTCCGGCCTCCGCAACAATCACATCCATCGCAATATGTGAGGCGGCAGCCCATGACACCGCATCATCGACTGCCAATGATGTCGGGAGGGCTCATGGGGTCGAGGACGTCCTCCCTTCTTCCACCGGTTGCATCAGCATAGTGCCTGCAAGCTGCTCGGTGTTATGTCTCCAGAACAACTGTGACAAGCTGACGTGCACCTTCATGTCCCGCACTACTCCGAGTATCACTCATCAGGTGCAAGCGTATGGGCCCACAACTTGGCCGTTCCCTTCTCTGGTTATGTGCATAGGTGGTAGCTGTGTGCCACGGCCATTGCCATGCCCGTCCTTCATGTGTGACCGAGGAGGCGATTGTCGAGCTTTCCCATGGCCAGCACCTCAAGGTACATTAATGGGATCTTCCACTGCTATTGTGGTGATGAATTGCTTTCCTGGTGCGGGTTTGATAAATGAGGCACCATCTAGGAAACCTATGCTCACCTGGACACCATCTACTGGGTATGCCACTATGCCGAGGAAATCTGATGCACGGTCTGCACGACATGCTGCAAATATGCCTGGAATATGTATGTCGGTGCTTACTGAGTATTCAGTATTGCAAATGCTTTCGCATGGCTCTGCATGTGAGGAATGGTTCAACTCACCATGGGATCCTGGAAAGGGAACCAAGTATTATGTCCTATTTGTCCTGCGTACTCTTGTTGAAGAAAATCCAATAGTGCAGGGCACTATACAGTTCTTGAAGATATGTGTGCTGGGAATATATTTTTGTACCATGAAGCATAAGGCCAACGACACTTGGACCATCAGGTCTCTGCAGCATGGTTATCGGTTTGGAACAATTTCGATGCTATTCAGTCCATCTTGCAGCTTTATATCTGTCGAGGCATTGTTCACTCAATTGGCTGGGAGTTTCGGACACTTGTCTTATCGTGATTACCTGAACTTGCTTGGAACCTGTTGCAAAATTGCTAGTACTGATCTGCTTCTATATGGGAATGCTTTGTTCATGGGACATAGCATTTCTGAATTGGTCGTACGGCCGAAATGGGATTTAGATGGTCAGATCATTAGAGATCAAGCATGGCTGAGTGTTGCGTATGAATTTGCAAGAGCATACATACAGTTTGTTCCCATCGATATATTTCTTGTTGTGCCCTTGCTTCCCGTACATTGGTACTGCACAATGGTGCACACAAGTAGGAAAGCTACAGAGGTTGCAGGGAAGTGCTATTTTGTGCAGCTTGAGGTTCTAGCAATGAAGAATAAAAATTTGGTTCTAGCAATTGATATTTTTGTGCAATAGGACCCAGGAATTAGGAAGATTGTTCTTAGGACTGCAATTATTTTGGGGAAACTGCAATCAATTTTTGGTCCAGATTTTCATGATAATACATCAACCGATCACTTGTTGGGTGAGATACTTCATTGTCAAGATTTTGGCCAGTATGGAATTGATCAAAATGGTTCACTAGTGCATCTCCAGAGGAGAATACATGTTATGGTTGCATCATACAATCACTATGGTCCTTCAGAGGAAGATGGTGTGAGTAGGTACTATACAGGACACATTTTTTCTACTTCCCCTTTGGTGATCTTGGGTCATGCAACTTCAGCAAAGTTGGCTCTTCTAGTTCTTCCTCCACATGATCTGGTGTTTGTGACCTTAGAGAAATATAGGGAGATGGACAAGTACATTCATGTAGAAGGGAACATGCCAATTATTTTCTTACAGCTACTGCAGCTCACACAAGAATTAGACGATGGAAGAGTTTGTGATCTTATGATGTTTTTCATTGGCGTGGGAGCAAGTATGTCATTGAAACAAGGAACTGAACATGCAACCACGTATCAGCAGCTCATTTGGGATCCCGGTGATGTATACAAGAATACATTGAGTTCAAGACTTGTTCCGTCCAAAGGATGTGTTCATCTGGAGCGGCCGTGGGACCCAGGTATTATTGCCAACTCGGAGTCGGCAAACCTGTTTGTGTCGAGGCCAGATGATCTCAAGGCTGAGGTGGGATCTACAAGGTGTTGCAGTCTGATCACGCCATTGCTTGGGGACAAGCAATGTTTCTTGGGGGCGGTAATGTCATACACGTGCATAGAACCGCACAAGGCTTGGCTGTCATGGGCCGTGGCCCAGGTGGTCTTGGGCTTGTGTTGGCGCTGGAGAGGATAAAAGAATCAGCGACACCAGAAGTGAGGCATCGAACAGAATAGATTTGGCTTGGCCCTTCTTCCTCCTCCAGCTCCTCCCTTCCCTCGTACCAGACGAGTGTATCCCCTCTCCCTGATCCTCTCTTGCTGCCTACCTTGATTCTATGCTCTTTCCATCCTTGATTCTCTTCTCTGGATTGTAGTCCCTTTGTGAACTTTGGTTTGGTGATTTAATTCATACACCAGGAACACTTGTATCCATGGATTTGGTGATGTTCGGTATCGATTTGTCAGCTCCTGATCTAGGGGCGTGACAGAATCATCCAAAACATGCTCCCAATCACGATGTAGCCCTCCTCTTTCACGCAATAGTCCTCCCATTACTTTAACGGCAAGTGGTAAATAACCACATTTTTCTATAATTTTCAGTCCGATATCCTTTAGCGTATTTGTGTGGTCTTCATCTATCTCACTTGAGAGTACCTGCGAACATGGTACAAGGGACAGATATAGTTAATTAACTATGTACCAAGCTCCTCTGAATAAGGCACTCAAATTTACTTCTTATAAGAGGGGAGCTCCTCTGAATAAGGCACTCAAATTTACTTCTTATAAGAGGCGAGAGGACTACTTGATGTATCTGTCCATTTACCAAGATAGGTTAGCCTATGTAAATATTCAAATTACAGAAAGTAAATATCATAAAGAATTTTTTGAAAATGTATTTACTTATCTTGCTCATACTCCCTCCGTCCGAAAAAGCTTGTCCCTCCGATGTATCTAGAACCAAGTTAGTGCTAGATACATCCATTTGAGGGACAAGCTTGGGATAACTTTTTCGGACGGAGGGAGTATATACCAAGATTTATGCAATTGATTCCATAAAGATAACTTTGTAAAACATTCAAATTACAGAAAGTAAATGCCATAAATAATTCTTTTTAAATGTATTGACTTATCTTGCTCCTACACACGCACAAAGCATACGTACATGCGTACATACACTTTATACCGCTCTCTCATCGCTGCTATAGAAACTTGTACTCAAAATTTAGCAGAAATTATATATCATTTATTGGTTTTCTTATATTTTACAGTCACGTGAAATTATTTTCTCCCAGTCACCTAAAATGCTCAACAGGTAGTAGCCCCAACATTGCTGGCTTGAATTTACGTGCAATGTCTCTAGCAAAACTAATACCAATTACCAACTTCTAGTCTAGTTAATTTTTGTGTTATATATATATTTTTGTAGCGCTAGGGGTTAACTGAATTGTTATTTTTTCCATCTTAAAACAATTTTTCATTTATATTATGTCCTATGACATTGCTGAGTAGATGAACACTTAGATCTTCACCCGGAAGTTGGAAAACGAGATTGAATATTAGAAAAGTTTATTATCCATTACATGAATATAACCGATAAATCTTAACTAGTAAAAACGACACATGTGTCTTGAACGTGTATAATGTGGGTATAAATAAAATATGGAAAACCCAATTGGTGTTGTGATGTATTTCCGCGTTTAGCGGCATGCTTTGTTGACACTATCAAAGTAACATTGGTCCTGTAAGATTATGATAACTCTTACCTTCCAAGAGGTGATATTAAGCCATTGAATTACATGTAACTAATTTGGAAGCATCCTATAATTTCCCTTAATTAACATAGGAATGTTAATAAATAGATGTAGATAGATTATTCACTTGATTTAGAGATCAGTGTTTAAATAAGTACGGACCTGCCTCTTGAGCAATGACCAAGCATCTTCAGGCAATAATGTGTTAACATGGTGGTAGGGCCATATGGCTATCATTTGTCGAGCTACGCCTTCATCTCTAGTGGTGATAAGAACTCTGCTTCCCGAAGCAGCAACATTGACAAAGGGTATTTTGAGCACATTCTCCCATGCTCCATGGTCCCAGACATCATCCATTACGAGTAAAGTCTTTTGGCCAATCAAGGTGTCCTTGAGGGTTTGGTGAAGCATGGCCTTTACATTCCCAGCTGATGAGTGGTCTCCTCTGGCTTCGATGATGGCTCTTCTCAGCAGCTCAACATCACTGAAGTTTTGGTTGACGCTCAACCATAACTTTTTACTGAACTCACCTTGGATGGTCTCATCATTGAAAACCTTCTGCGCGAGGGTGGTCTTGCCAATCCCGCCGGCACCTACGATGGCAACCACCATGATGTCATCATTGACCTTTCCGGTTTGCATGATCTGGGCCACTAGTGCTCTTGTGTCTTCTTCAATCTTGTCCCCAACTACAGCCGACTGGTCAAAGTCCCCTATCGTCTCCCGGCTAAGATTACCATGACTGCTATGATCCTCATAGGACCTGAGATTGATAAAGTTGAAAGCAGCACTGCGCTCCTTGATGGAGTCAAGCCTCTGGTTGAGAGCCTTGATACGGGTGCCGATCTCATGAGCATGGAAGGGATTGCGCATGCAGAAAAGCAAGGGATTAAAACACCCTGCATTTACGGTGGATGGTCCATGCTCCATGGCCTTGAGCTGACAAAGGTCGAGGATGTCAGCAGCTTCATACATGGCCCGCTTGAGCTGCCCCACCCACTCTTGCACAGTCTCGTCGGTGATGTTCCTCCTATCAGCGTCAGCGAGGAAGTTCTTGAGGTCCTGGAACTTGTCGCCCAACTTGTCGATCTCGCCGGAGACACCCAACATCGTTCCTAGCTCTTCCTCTACCACCTGCTTGAGCAAGTCCCCCAGGTAGGATGCAAATGCATCCAGCACCATCGTCATTGTACTTGCTAGATTTTGCTGCAATAGTAAAACTGAGGTCAAATTTAAGCAGGAGTACACTTGAACTGCCTCACCAACATACCTTTGGGATGGATGGATGGATGTCCTCCTGCTCATTCAGCTCTGGAGACTGGACAGTTTGCTGTATGCACCTCAATCATGTTGAAGAGGAAGATGGGGCTCCTGTTGTATATGAACGAAAGAAAGCTACCTAACTATTTATTTAACTCTATCATAGCATTGGGTTCTCATCATAGCATTGTCTTTAAATAAATAAATCAGAGCATTCTGGCAGACTGTATAACATACTGCCATGACAAACATCTTGTCCTTATCTACACTTGAACGCAATAACAGTGGCAGACAGCTAGTTAGGACAGAGCTAACTAACTAATTACAGAACGTGGGCTGTTGTCAGGTTGATAACCTTGTCTAATCTTTTTAGTCATTAGTTTAATTTACATCCATATTGTTAGTTCAAACAAAAAGATATCTGGCATGATGGATGGTGAAGTATTTGTCAGATTCATCCGCCGAAAGGTACTTGCTAAAACCTCAAAGCCTCAAAGGTATAATAAAGAACGTAGTATTTTTATCACCCAAAGTTCCTTTGAGGTTTGGGGGCTTAGTGGAACTTTACAGGTGTAAGCAGATTACATGTATTTTACTAAGCCCCCACCTTACAAAAAAGGTCGAATACATGGGATATTTATTTCAGGTTGGAAAACAATTTTTAAAACAAGTTATCACGTACGGCTTTATACTCTATGGTTTCGTATTTGGAACAGAAATTTTGAGCAAATCTGTATGTGCACCTGGCTAGCATAGGTGCACAAACATTACATAAGCCAACAAATAAACATAACTCAACTCATGTTTTACACGGTCGTCCACGAGAACCAAAATTCACATCAACAAGAGTCAAAAATCATGAAATATAATTACAAAATCATGAGGCACATAATGCATGCTCGCCTCGTCAACACACTACATAAACAGAGTTTGAAGTCAGCAACTATTGAATTGTGGCAGGTTTCGACAAACTATCCCCCATATATTCTTGCTAGCATCCTGAACTATTTGGATCTCAAACGTAGGCAAGAAAAGAAAAGCACATAGGAGAACTTCCTCCTCTAACACAGCTAGCTGTTGACATGGTAAGGTACACATTAAGGTGTGTAGCCTGCAAACAAAAAGAACAGAGTTTTGTCTCTAAGCCAGAGCAAATTTAAGGAGGCCCTAGCCTTTCCTTTCTTCCTTTCATAGAGAGAAAATACTCCACAGATAGTGAAGCCGAACAATAAACAGAACGAAATACTTCAATTTGTGAACAGTTTATGCATTTAAAAATGCAGTTTGCGGTTCTTCATTGGCAGTTGGGCTTATCTCTCCACAAAATTTTCTCTTGGCAGTTTCCAGTTCTTTATGGTTAATTGGTTATACATATCTACAATTTAGCCATCTCATGAACCTCTAGTCATGGTTACGAACATGTTATGGCACGTCATAAAAACGTGCTCATATTCACATTGGCTACAACCTATCATGACCCCTATGTCATGTTTACGGACATTTTGTTAGCAAGCACATGCAAAACTTTCTCTAGATCTGCGGGAAATTGTACGCTAGCTAGCCAAATAGTTTACTCTGTTCTTGTATTCCAGCTATCTTTCAACAATAAAACTCAAGGAGCATCTTTCTTATAGGCCTTGTAGCTTCAAGGGACCAGATTGAGGCAGTGTGCCAAAGAAAAGTAGATCGATCTGGCAGTTTGAAGAAGCTAATTAATCTAGGTGGAAGATATCAGTGTAGCAGTGGGGTGGATCTAGGTGCACCAGCACACCCAAAAAATCTGAGGCCAGTGGGGTTTAATGCTAACTAATCGTCAATGATGAAATTGCTGTACCGCTTTAACTTTGCGACAGCAGGGATGCGATGAGAAACAAAAGGAACAGCGATGGCGCCCTCTATAAGGTGCTCCCTAGGCATCAAAGATTCTCCAAACTGTGATGACGGATCTCAAATAATGTTGGACGTATCTGAAGCCCCTTCGAGCCAGGAGATAGTTCATTATTCCCTGGACAATCCACGCACATCTCAGGTGTAAACTGTGCAAGAAAGATCATAATGCTCACTGGTCAGTTCAGCAATAACCTTCTGTAGTTATTAGTAAAAATATACAGCATGATTTATAGTTGAAACTCTGTAATCGCTGTTCTCAGCTTGCAATACATATGTTTACTCCTCTGTTTAGCACAAAAGGTGACTCATCTAATACGCTCGCAACCCTATAGAACTATGATATAGCTCTACCGCATTGCTGTACATGTCCCTAGTTATTCCACTTACTGATAGCCGAGGCCGAGCTTGATAAAGCGGTGGAATAGCATGTAAACTACTGACGTGGGACTAATGCAGTGGTAACTATGGATCTGGTTCAACGTCCATGAAGACAAAACATACTCCGACGCAGCACCCATGGAAATCCAGATTAGTAATCTGCTTAAGTAACTATTTTATTACTATTCTGTGTGGGCTGCTTAAGTAGTTGTTGGGTGCATTAGTAGCTAGGTAACTAGTGCCAAACCGCGTCATTTATCCGAGACTAATAAAGTTAGGCAGGCAGCTGCAGTACTGGTGAGAATGCAATGTGCTTTTCTTAATTGAGATTTGCTAACTATAGGTCTACTAGTTTTTCTTCGGCCCAAGAAAATTTCTTCAGATTAGATTCATGCTATGGTCTGTATTGATCGATGCTATCAAAATCAACACAAAAGATTGATTGCTCCTGCGAAAGGTAGTATGGCAAAAAGGTAAAGAATCTACTCCCTTCGTTCCCAAATAATTGTCTTTCTAGCCATCTCAAATGGACTACAACATACGGATGTATGTAGACATGTTTTAGAGTGTAGATTCACTCATTTTGCTCCGTATGTAGTCACTTGTTGAAATCTCTAGAAAGACAATTATTTAGGAACGGAGGGAGTAACAAACAGTGATGTTAGGGGAATACGGCGACTGACTGTGCGTACTTGGCCGCCGCCGCCGCCGCCATGCCACGCGCGCTCCTTTGTTGTGGAGGATGGGGACAGGGACGGGGGCGGAGAAATCCTGGTGCCCTGATATGGTGGCGAGTGGAGGTTGGGTCGCCGGAGACGGCGAGAAAGTGGTGGAGCTCCCCATTTGGATTTGGTCGTCGGGGAGGAAGCTGAAAGAAGAGTCGATGATTTTCTTTTTGAGTATTATAATTTTTTTTATGCTATTCTGAGGATTAGAAGAGTCGATGAGTAGGGAGGGGATGGACCCGGGGACAGAAAGCCCACTAGAAGCGCTATTTGCTTTCAACTGCCCACGGCCCATAAGCCCATTTGCCTGCCATGAATTTTAATCTACGAAATCTTCTATATCGCGCTTCCTATTATACCATTTACCTGCCATGAATTTAATCTACGAAATCTTCTGTATCGCGCTTCCTATTATACCATTTGCCTGCCATGAATTTAATCTACGAAATCTTCTATATCGCG